AAACCCTAAAACCCTAAAACCCTAAAACCCTAAAACCCTAAAACCCTAAAACCCTAAAACCCTAAAACCCTAAAACCCTAAAACCCTAAAACCCTAAAACCCTAAACCCTAAACCCTAAACCCTAAAACCCTAAAACCCTAAACCCTACACCCTAAACCCCGAACCCCGAACCCCGAACCCCTAAACCCTAAACCCTAAACCCTAAACCCTAAACCCTAAACCCTAAACCCCTAAACCCTAAACCCTAAACCCTATAGGCAAGTTTGGTGAATTTGATACATATGTTGGGTTAAAATACGAAACTTAAGCACTTTTTCTTCCTGGGCATGTGAAATTCCATCGGTGTTAACATTGGAATTTTTTTCCCCTTTGAGACAGTTTCGTTAACTCGATCTAAAAAATTATTTTCTTATTTTTGTATCATACCATATCCACTAAAGATTGTCCTAAGCTTAAAATATAGAAAATATATATATTTACTCATGTCTATAAGACCTCACAACCTCAACCCTGTCAAGAAGACCCTCATAGAGGCACTTAAATCATTATGTGAATAACCTAAGTTTCTTTCGATCTTTTTCAACGAAACTGTATGGAACACTCAAGTTTGATGAATTTGACACATGTTGGGTTAAAATACGAAACGTACGCACTTTCTCAATCATACTTTCTCTTTTGGACCATTTTGGAGTCAAATTCCATAGGTGTCAAATTCATAAAAGTTGTTTCTCATTCTACTCTCTTACTAAATTTACTATGATTGTACTAAGAGTAAAATAAGTTTAAAAAAAACATGTAAAGTGTGAATTAAGTCCTCACAATCTGAACCTGAAACCATAAAACCCTAACCCCTAAATCTCAAACTTTGAACCCCTACCCTAATTATAAAAAACCTGAAACCCTAACTCTGAAAATCCAAAAAACCCTAAAACCCTAAACCTTGAAACCCCAAACCGCAAAACCTAAAAACCTAAACCCTAAACCCCTCGCCTTAGGCCTTAGGCCCTTGACCCTAAACCCCTGAACCATAAAACCTTAACCCCAAACCCTAGATCATTACCTCTAAACCCTCACTCCGAAACTTGAAACTCTATCAGTATAACCCATGATCTTAGAACCCCGAACCCCGAACCCCAAACTCAAAACCCTAAACCAAAACTTGAAACCCTATCACTATAACCCATGATCTTAGAACCCCAAACCCCAAACTCCAAACTGATGGGCTGTGGAGTAGAAGTTTATCTTAATCATGTTTTGGACTCCAAAATGCATAAGTATTTGCATTTTGTAAACATTTATTTGTGCATTCTAATAAATTATTTGTTAAACTAATTGTACCCAATCTTGTTCACTAAATTAATGTCATTTAGTAGTGATCCATGACTTAAAGATTTGTTAAACTAATTCTTTTCAAAATTTGTTTATATCTCAAAAGATATGTATCGTAAAAACTTTGATAATTATATTTCCCCATCAAAATGTCAACAGAAATACGAGGTCTCAATTTTATTGTAATAAAAACATCTCAAACAAACAAGAATTGTAGTTGGAAGTAGCAGAATGTAATCAACATCCAGGGGAACAAATGATATAATAGAGAAAATGCCATCTATGCTTATTCCAACCCAGAATTGATAAAACTTGCCAAAACTTGCATTGCATTCTACTGCTTATGCTTCCCAACCTGATTTCTAACCATTTTCTTACTTGTATGGAGTAAATATGATCGATGAATTATGGCCCCCAAATCCGAATGAATTAGACAACGCTGCCTTGATGTCGAATCTCTCTTTCTTCGGACCCACTAGCACATTCATGTCCTGTATATGCAACAATATTAAACGTTATTTCAAATGTTCAAATTCATAACGTGTATAACGACTTAACCCAACAGGGTTGGATGGATTATTAGAGCAACATACCACGCCTTCATCTGGGTTTTCAAGATTGATATTTGGATGTACCCATCCTGTCCGAATAGCCTGATGACAGAACACAGCGTCAACTTATGAACGACAAAAAAGCTCGTTTGAACGGGAGGAGGAAGATCGTAAAGGCACATTAACATTGTGGTTTGTATTATGACACTACTTATACCAGAGAACAATTTGACACCTTTATTACCTGTATCACTGCAACAGCTTCCACTGCACCTGCAGCTCCAAGTAGGTGGCCGATCATAGATTTTGTGGAGTTCACCTTCAGCTGCCAAAGCATTAACCTTATCTTTGCATGTTTGTTTACATTGTAAGATTAGAAACGTATGTAAACACTGAGAATTATCAAGTCACCTCAGGGTTATTGCCAAAACAATGAAGAAGAGCTTGATACTCTTTGAGGTCTCCAGCAGGTGTTGATGTGGCATGTGCATTTATATAATTAACGTCTTCCCTTGATACTCCTGACTGGGCCAACGCCTTTTCTATGCAAAGAATGACACCAGCCCCTGAGTTTTATAGAAATGCAGGGAACACACTTTAGCTCCACCGATTTCAACAACAAGAATGCAACTTAACATGTACCCGGTCAAAAGGTTTGAATCTTCCCACCCCAAGTATTGTTNAAAAAAACCCAAAAAAAAAAAAAAAAAAAAAAAAAAAAAAGAGAGAGAAACATTGGATAGAGCATAACTTTGGTTACCCATAATAAGATCAAACCAACCACTGAAAACTTCCAAAAGCTGGATCTGTATTTTGAGGCACTTGATGAAGTCAACATGGTAAATCCAATGCAAGTGCAAAAGTTTGGAAATAGATTGCCCCACAAGTTATTTGGAAAAGCAATGCTTCAACGAGCAACTGTTATTTACCATTCTCTTACCATACTTACATGTCCAGGCATAAGTTTAAAAATATCGATCCAATTTCCACTTAATTGCATGATGGATCGATTAGACCATAAATGAAGTAAATTTTATATTTATTACAAATAATTTAGCAAATCCAAAGATATGCCACCACAGACTCCTCTATAATATACATTTAAAATTTTTTAGCAAACCATAAGTGAGAAGAGAAAGTACTAAAACCAACAAAACAATAAATTGTCTAAAGTTTATCAGACCTGCTCCACGGATATTTAAGTTAACGGGGATTACCATCAGGACGTGGTTCTGTCATGTGGTAAGCATCGCAAGTTAAACTTCCACCAAGAAATTCTGCATATATTTCTGCGCCTCTTTTCTGCGAATTTAAGGTCAGATGACTGAATTCATTAATGAAAAGAACAGTAGTGGGTTCCAGAGAAATAAAAGTAAAAGTACATTTTTGTTTTAAAGCAAAAAATAAAGTTTTGAAGAGATTGAAAATTGTAAACGTTACAAGTGAAAGCATTCAGCATTAAAGATAAAGGTGAGAGACCATGTTCACGGGAAACATAGATGGATACTCAGAATCATGGATCAAGGTACTAGTTGATGGATGTCATTTTAGAATGAACTACAGAAGAAACAAAGATCGATACCAAAAATTAAGGGTATGATATTAGATAGATTGAGCCTACCTTCGCATGCTCTAGCTCTTCTAAAAGCAATACTCCAGCACCTTCGCCCATCACAAATCCATCTCTACTCTGCAACATAACATCAACCGCACATCAAAATAAACAGAAAACCTAGCCTGCTGACAAGACAAATACCAGCATTAAGGTTTATCAAAAAAATAAATATATATGGAAAAAAATTACTTTCAAATGTACTGTTTATGACCAAAACAACAAACCCATCAACAATTTTACACAAAAAGTTTAATCCCAGCCCTCTTTTAATGCAAAGGAGGGAGAACGGATATATTCGGTGAATAAAAAAATTAACTAATGAGCTTAATTTCAAGTTCGTAAAAAAAAAATATCAACATTAAAAAATAAATATTTCGAAGTTCAAGTAACTTTACAATTGCCTCTCATTTTCAAGAGCATCAATAAGAAACAGAAAAATCAATGGTAAAGAGATTGTTGGTAACTTTACAATGTCCCAAGGGCGTGAAGCTTTAGTAGGGTCACTGTTTCTCTGTGAAAGTGCTCTACAAGCAACAAAGCCTCCCAAGCCTACTTCCCAACAACAGTTAAGAGTAGAGGGCAAAAAAAAAAACCCAAAGTTGTGTAAAGAAATCTCAGATGAATTTAACAGGAAAAGAAAGAAATACCTATGGGTATAACTGCTGCATCTGAACCACCACAAAGCATTACATCCTGCACAAAATTTAAAGAAATATAAGCATAAAGTAGTAATATAGATAAGAAAAATCTAGAACAACTCAGATGTAAAAAGAATGGTATATGATTCACTTCAGATGTACATGCTAGAGTTAGTTGAATTATCTATTAATTCAGGAGAAGAAAAATTTGAGAAGAAAACAATTTCTGGCAGGCCTATTCAGAAAGTCAAATATAAGCACTTACAGCATCACCTCTACTTATATGATCTGCTGCATTCAATATGCAAAAATTGCTTGTAGCACAGGCTGTGGAAATGGAATAGTTTGGACCCATCCACCCCTGAAGCTCAATCAGAAAATAACATGAAGTAAAAGGAATTAAAAGAATCAAATTGCACTAGCAAGGATTGTCGTAAAATTCATACTAACCAAGTCCGCTGCAAGCATGGCAGAACCCATATTCGTTGTTGCAAAGGGTACACAGAAAGGATTCATCTTCCTGTATGAAATCCGTAAAGCCTCTATTGCATCATAAAAAACCTGTCCACCAATTAAAATGGAAAACCGAGTGCATCAATTCCTTGGAATGAATCATCTGAGTGGTGCCTCTACTCAAGTTAGGAAACTAATTTCTTCAGTTCTTCCATAGAAAACAACATTTCATGCTAGTAAGAAGTCAAAAAGAATGACTGAACAACCAGAGAACTAGCCTACACAAAACTAGAAGGTTTGCAATTTTTTAGAACGAGGAGGGAGAGAGATAGAGAGAGCACTAATTTACTTCATCACAATGCCAATGAGGCCAGAAATGTAATATACTCCAAATGCTACTTGAACAAATTTCCTTTTATTGCTCTCTAATGTCAACTTCCAAAAGAAAACCATGACAAAACTTGCACCAAAAACCTTTCATTTTTGGTCATCCTTGCATCTCAACATTATGCAGAAATCATCCAAAATCCAACTTAGTTTCAGTTTTCCCAACATTACTAGGAGGAAGTCAAAATGAGAAAATCATCTTGGTCCTGGAAGTAATAAATGATTTGTCTTTTGATATGTGACATATATATATTAAACAGGAGTATTAAAAAAGTAAGAACATATCAAATTAACTTTAGATATTGAACTCTAAAACATTTAGGCCCCGTTTCATAATCATTTAGTTTTTGGTTCTTAATTTTAGAAAATTAAGTTTGTTTTCTCCCAGTTTCTCTACAACGGGTTTGCTCTTTGTGTTAAAGAAACACTTGAATTCTTAGCCAAATTCTAAAAACAAAAACAAGTTTTCTTAACTTAGCTTGGTTTTTTGAAAATAGAAGTAAAAAGTAGATAACAAAGCAAGGAAACCCATAGCTTGGTTTTTTGAAAATAGAAGTAAAAAGTAGATAATAAAGCAAGGAAACCCATAGGTGGAAGTAATATTTATAGGCTTAACATTCTAAAACCAAAAACCAAATGATTATCAAACAAGACCTTAACTAATATTAATCCACAGAAAACAATTGCAAGGATTTGTATCATAATCTGAAGTGGATACTTCTATACTTTGGGATGGATTGTCATACTACATCAATCTACATTACGGACTACATAGTACATTCATACTCAAGTACTCATTCAGTCAAGGTTACCTTCATGCCACCCATTGCTGAACCGATCAACACTCCACATTTAGCTTTATTTAACTCATCCATTACATCTTCTGTAATTCCTCCATCCGCAAGGGCTTTCTTGCCGGCAGTAAGCAAGTAAAGCATGAACTTATCCATCTTCTTAGAAAGTTTTGGAGCAACCCATCCATCAGTTGAGAAGCTCTTTATCTCTCCAGCAATTCTCTGAGAAAATAAAATATAAAGGTGAACACAAAGGAAACGGCATGTGGGAAAAGAAAGATATATCTACCGTGGGAAATTGGTCACAATCAAATGACTCGATCTCTGTTATGCCACTGATACCCTCGAGCAAACTACTATAGAAGAGATCTGCATCGTGACCCAGTGGAGTCACCACACCCATTCCAGTGACAACTATTCGCCTTTGCCTGGTACCATGTTTCTTTTTTACTGTTATTTCTTCAGCAGGTTGTACAGCTATGGACATGGCCTCGCCTAAAGTTTTGAAAAGTCATTATCCATGACGTTTTTGCATCTTAAAAGCAAGAAACTTCACTAATTCTATACAATCAAGCAGCATCAGCATAGGCGTTCCTCAGATTAGAACCGTATCGTATGAATCTAACGAAATTACATCTAATGAATTTGATAACATGGATTAAAACAAAATAATAATGAATTGAACTGCAAGAACTTCAATAGAGAAAACAACTTTTATACGAAAAGAATCGTTTATACCCGAATGAGCAGCCCTGCGTTTTGGCAGGCAATTCCAATTTCTACTTTGTGGCTTGAACAGAATGCAGGAGCTCGTAAGTCCCTGCATCATCCTGGATCCACAGGACGACAAAATTTCTGTCCCGTGACTTTGAGAGCTTCTACTGCTGCATTTTGATTTAAACTTCCGTCTTCCAGCACATTTTTCGATAATCTTAGAAGAAGAAAACATGGAGGAATCAAAGGAATGATTTCTTCCGCAGTTGACAGACATGCAAGCGGACAAAAGTCCAGAGCAGAGTGGAGAAACAACAGAGGATGCAGCCATGGAGGGTTGAATCCAAAACCTGGTATATGCGGATAAGAAAAGCAAGTAGAAAAGGCGTACACAGGAGAAAGAGCTTGAAAAGGAAGGTAATCTGGACCGTGCAGATTCAGAGAAGGTGGAATGGATTAGAAGAACCGTCGAAACAGCGAGTGATTGAAGATCAAAAGGAGGATGTGGGGACGAGTAAGAAGAGGGGGTGAAAATGGCGGAAACGATGACGCATTCGTCGATCTCTGCAGAAGAGGAAGTCGACGCTTGAGACGACAGTGTGTAGCTCCACATAAAAGTGGAAGTGTTCTCTCTTTTCCCTTTTTGACTCGATTTTTTAAACTAATTTATACTGCCACTATTATATATATATATATTTAACAAAATACAGAAACTAAAACATTTCAACTTCGTCTGTAACTAAAAAATACCATTTCTCCTAATATTTAAATATTTATTACTTGTTGAAATGAAACTCTATTATTTACGGGAGAAACGCTTTTTTAACCGCATTTTTTTAACTCAATAAATTTTTTTTTGGAGTTAGTGTTCCATAATAAATGTATATTTAATAAAATATACGTTTTAAATTTCAATTAATTAATTAATTAATTATTAAAAAATTATTTAAATTTTCTATTCATACCCATCATAGATAAAAAAAAATAATAAAAAAAAATAATAACACAGTTGTTTTTTTTAGGTTCTAGCCGTGAATCATTGGTTGAGGAGGAAAACGAAACACCTTTAATATGTGGAAACCGTTTTAAAAACCTTATTTGAGATAAAAAAAGTATAATATCTAATCGCAGTCAATTTTGGTCATTACAAATGGTATCAGACAGACACTAGGCGGGTGTGGAAACCTTTCCCTCCCAAACGTGATGGAATACCGGGGCGTGTGTGGAAATCTTTCTCTAGTAAAAGGCTAGCAAACATGAAGAGAAACTCAAAAAGGAAAGTCCAAAAAAGACTATATCTGGTAACAGTGGGCTTGGGCCGTTACATTAGCCCAGAAGCCTCTCTAGTAAACGTGATGGGACACCAGGCGGGTGTGGAAACTTTTTCCCAGTGAACTTGAGAGAACATCGGACGGGTGTGGAAACCTTTCCCTAGTAAACATAGAAAGTCTAACCAAGACAATATTTGCTAACTGTGAGTAACCGCACAAGCCAATATCGGCCTCCAATATTTTGTTTGTTGTTTTCATTTTTGGTGTTGTAGCGATTGGGCCAGCCGCACGTTCCGCCATATGTAGAGTTGAAGATGATTAAGCGGAGTTGTGGGCGTTCCTCCACTGCCTTGTGGTTGTATGTAAAGATAGCTCATTTGTTTCATGTGCGTGCTCGCTATTTGCGCTGTCCAGGACTTGCGCGTGAAGCTAGCTTGCTACTATGAGCTGTGACAGCTCTGCACCCACTGCAAGCCAAAACCCAAAAACCAAATACTATGCACTTCCACCATTCCTACCATTATGTGTCCAAAAACAGCCATTAGTACCGAGAATCTCGGGTGTTGCTACGCCTCTAACTTCTTATCAGCCACTTCCTACTCTTTTCATGTTGACATCAACACATCCACATAATATAATATGACATAATATCACTAAACTATATATTCATTAAGGTGTCTTGTTCATGAATATGTATTTGATGAACATGTATTTAATACCACTTGTAACACCTATTGTCTAGGATTCAGCTTAAGATTTGAAATCTGGATTCGACATTTAATTATTTAGGCATTTTCCTGCCTCCATACATGACCATGTTCCTTACTTGTTGCTTCTAAGAATTAAGATTAATATTCCCAAACTAACTCTTTTAGCATGTTTTGAATTTTTAAACAAATATATGTTAAACGTACTCTATCAGTATAATAGGTAGAAGTAGTAAAATGTCAAGCAGTAAAATATCGGGTCATCAAGTGTGAATCTAAATTTCAAATTCGGGACATGATGAGAGATTGAGTTGAGTGTAGTGCGACCAGCATTGCAATCTACAGAGTGCATTGGGGGATGGGTAGCTAAGGCCGTGGCTGCGGGTGTGGTGGTGTGTTGTAAAACCCATGTGTGTTAAACAGTTGTGGAAGAAAGGGAAAGCAAATTAATTAATTGATCGAACCCCACCTTTTAATGGTGCAACAAAAGAGCGGCCATCCATCACCGCACATCATCCTTTGTACGGTATGTGGATGCATATTAAAAAACAAGTTTCGCACCACATTTAAAGATGTGGTTGAATATCACCGGGATCCTGACCTCTTAGTGGTTCACTTATCAGCATCATCTTTAAGCGAGGGCATGATCAAGGGTCAAGTTTTAGTGAATGAGGTCAAAGCCATGGCGCCCACTATTACATCTTTAAATAAATGGCGACGGCCCATGTGCAAACCTCCTGTTTTTGCGGCTATTTCACTCTGTTTTCCTACAACCCAAAAGTGAAAGCTTTTTGTGTCTTGTTTTCAGATTCGTGACGAAAACAGAAAATGGTTTGTTGAACATTCCGTAGTGCGGGGTGGCCCAGCAGTCATGTCGAGGGCGGAGAGCGCAAGGCCACGCCCACGCCCACGCCCACGCCCACGCCCACGCCCAGCACTCACTGTGCAAGCGGCGTTGTCAAAAGTTCCAACTCCCTTGCATTATTCATCTTATCAATCATTCCCTTTCTTTTATTTGTGGAGTAATTAATAACATAAAGACTTAAATCTTTTTTATTTCTGTTGTCTACCATTCTTCCATTTCATGTCGGTTTCTGTCCCCCTTTCTCTCTTCTTCTCAAACCTTTAAGCTATTTAGCTTTAAGCTTTATCTTCGGCCTTCGATTTCCCGGAGTCAAGTCTGTGTCATCACCACCTTCATCCCCTCGACAGTTTTGCTATTCACTTTTTTTTCTCTTTTTTCTTCACAACCCAAACTGGATCACTATATTCCCTTTGGGGTTCCGCCGCTCTACCTCGCCTTCTTCGCTTCTTTTTCTTCAGCGAACCCTGTTGTTGTTTCCAGAGGCGCCGGGACTGGCATGGGTGTGTTCTTGCCTTCACGGAGCTAGTGATCAGATTTCCTTTGGATTTGTGGGTTATATCCTACAGTATGAAAGCTCCCCCAAATGGGTTTGTGCCCAATTCTGGAGAAGGTAACTTATCTTCTCTACAATGTTCTTTAAGAACACGATTGTTTAGAGATTCTGAAGTTGTGTATATTTCTGACATACTAAAAATCTGCTTAATTATTCATGGTAGTGGTGGTTTAAGCTCTTAGATCATGAGATTTGTTAAAACCTTTAGTAGTATTTAGTTGTGATGCCTGTTTGTTTGTCTGAAAGGAACAGGTGAAAGGAAGAATATTAATTCTGAGTTATGGCATGCTTGTGCTGGACCTCTTGTTTCGTTACCGCCAGTTGGAAGTCTTGTGGTTTACTTCCCTCAAGGCCACAGTGAACAAGTATATACTCTATGATTCAATTTATTTGAACATATGGATGGATAGTGGTTTGTGATGGGTTTTTTTCCTTTCTTTTTTAAACCTTTCAGGTTGCAGCATCCATGAATAAGGAGACTGATTTCATTCCAAACTACCCTAACCTTCCTTCAAAGTTGGTGTGCATGCTCCATAATGTCATATTACATGTATGAGGGATTCTATGGCCCATACAGCTAATCAAATCTCTTAAATTGAACTACTACATATTTAGAGGTGCAAATAATTTGTGAGCTCAATATGAGATGGTTATTTTGTGTTCTGAACCAGGCTGATCCTGAAACTGATGAAGTGTATGCACAAATGACCCTTCAACCAGTGAATAAAGTAGGTTAGCCACTCAATAAGTGTTCGATACTTCATATTAGATTCATTTATACATTCAAATAATTTGGTTGTTAATACAATATTCCGTTTTGCAGTACGAAAAAGAAGCTTTATTGGCATCTGATATTGGCCTCAAGCAAAACAGGCAGCCTGCTGAGTTCTTCTGCAAAACTCTAACAGCTAGTGACACTAGCACTCATGGTGGATTTTCTGTGCCTCGTCGTGCAGCTGAGAAGATTTTTCCCCCATTAGTGCGCATCACATCTCGTATTCTTTAATATTACTTCCATTTAATATATTGGTTTAAGGATATATTGTTGATTTTTATCCTGTAACATTCTGTCTGTCTGTTTAGAAATTATGTTTAAAAATAAATTTCTATTGCTTTGGGGTATTCCAAAATCTCCAGCTTTGTAAGGTTCATTGTTAGGGATGGGTCATGGATTCTCTTCTGGTATGATTGTTGGAAGGTTGGATTCTTAAGGTCATGTTTTGGTTCCCCGACCACCCATGGGTGATGTTGGGTCACGTGTAGGGTGTGTAAGAAGGCTTTGGAAAGCCCGGTTCATAGTTGCTTTGGCAATCTGAGATAGATTTTTGGGACCTTTGTGTTAGGATCGCACAACTCACACACTCTATCTAGATGAAGAACATGAAGAACAGAAGAGATAAGACACAAGGAAAAATATACGTCGTAACACCAGGATGGAGAACTCCACATCCAGGCAAAGTGTTTGGACTTGCTGGCTTTTTGGACCGTGGATGTCTAAGGAGGGCAGGATGGTTACTTCCTGTGATGTTCGTAGATGTTACAAATAGCATAGGTATGACCTACACACTCATAATAGCCCATTCAGTCTCCTAAAATCTATTAGTGACCGTTGAAACGTTTTTGGATAGGAAATTCTTTTGTAATTATGGCTTCTCTTAAAATCTAGGAAATTCTTTTGTAATTATAGCTTCTCTTCTCCATGATGCATCTAGAAATTTCTTCTTCATTATAGCTTCTCTTCTCCAATCAAGTGGGTTCACATACACACACAGAGATGTGGAGGAAGGGGAAGGGGGTGGGGAGGTCGAGGCAATTTAATGAATTTTCCTGACCAGCAAATATTTGTGTGCACGTAGTTGCATATAGTTATGTGCGCAATGTAGGGATAAATGTCGAAAATTAGTTATTATGAGTTTGTTGGCTTAAGTAGCCATAGGGAGGCGATGGTTGGTATAAAGGATCAACAGGTCTGGCTTGTTCGGAACTGGCTGCTGGAGTGGAGTTAGTCTTCGGTTAGCAAATTGTATAAATACTAGTTGTTTAGGTTGTATGAACTCGAGTACGATTGGTATCCTTTGGGCTACACAAGTACATTTTTGTTAATAATTAACACCTCATGTGATTTGAGGTTGTAATGCAAACTTTAATTTAAACTTATGATTGTTTTTGTGTGTATCTTTCTTGAAAGCTCATATTGAATATTCTTAATTATAGGACTACTCGATGCAACCCCCTGCTCAGGAACT